AGAAAATACAGTTAATATATAATAGTCTAAAATCATAGATCCTAACAAAAGAGGATTTTAGTATTTAGAGATTTACAACACGAGCATAGGTACGTTGAGCAAAATAATCCAAACAAGGAAACCCTCATGTATATACCTTGTATCTCAAATTGTAAATCCCTAAACACCAAACCCAAAATCTAAAATAGGAACAATAATAAAGAGAAATACAACCCATCTCAGAACTTAAATACTATGTCATGTCATAACCAAATAAGTGTCAAAGGTCAAAATTACATAAGTGTCATGTCCAGCCTAGGTAGCTATCGTGTCCAAATCTCATGTAATCATGTCATGTCCTGATTCAGATAAGTGTCATACTCATAGCTTAACAAATGTCTACACATGGTCTAATATGTAAATATCCAACACGAGGACAAAAAATAGATTATAGTCCAACACAAGGACTTTAATGGATTATAGTCCAACACGAGGACTTTAATGGATAATAGTCCAACACGAGGACTGAAAGGTGAATGCATGTCCAACACATGGACTATATATAACCTATGCCAACGTTCATGATGCATATGTATGAAAAGGTACACATATACTAGTAACACATGTACCTCAGTGTGCGGGTCTAAACTGATATCATAATGTCACTCACATATATAGACAAATGTTCCATACTAAAATTTAATGCCGGATAAATCGAGGTAAACAATTTGTACACACAATATACACAACAAAACAAAATCATGCACAAACAGTATCACGGTCAACCGCAGAGGCCACTCCGGTCGACCGCGCAAATGAGCAGAGATGTTCTGCTCAATAGTACGCCCAGCGGTCAACCGCGCACAGCGCTGCGGTCGACCGCGAGACTGCCAGAAATTGATCCAAACAATCCCTCCTTGCTTCCAAACGATATATCACATATTCTAATACATATGAATCATCATATAACAACATTTAGCATGTAAAAATCATCACTAAAAATCATGAACATGTATACCCGTGTTTTAAACTTTATAAAACAGTAAAAATCAGAAATTTAACTCTTAATAAAGCGTTTTTAGATTTGATCTCTTTAACCAAAATCATTGGTGAGTATTTGAAAACTGAAATACTTAGTTTTCACATCACATGTCATAAAGATCTATCTATATACGCAAAATAGTGATTTAGGCTCAAACATCACATGTCATAAAGATCTATCTATATACGCAAAATAGTGATTTAGGCTCAAGAAAACTCATTTAAATCGTTAGAAAAGCTCGTAAAAACATGGGTGATTTAGGCTCAAGAAAACTCATTTAAATCGTTAGAAAAGCTCGTAAAAACATGGGTGAGGGATTGGGCAAGATGTTACTCGCCTGAGGGGTGTAGATGAACTCCCAAAAATGAGTAAGAACGATCCTCCTTCACTGAACACCGATGGATCTCGTGTCGACTCCTCCAAAATCCTCCAAGAATCGCCAAAAAAAGGGGTTTTAGGGTTTGAAAAAGAGAGAGGAGGGGGCTGAGGCTATTAGGGTTCAAAAGAGGGTTCTGAGAGCTTCAAAACAAGTTTATATACCTAGGGTAATAACTGGGTTCAGTATAAACAAAACCCGACCCGAAAAAGAACTGACAGAACCAGGTTCGCCCAGCGGTCGACCGCAGCGACCACGGCGGTCGACTGTGCAGGGTTCTGGGTCATGCTCAGATTGGGGTTTGGTATAAAGACTGTAACTTTCTCATCTGATCTCGGAATGAGGTGATCTAAGATTCGTTGGAAATCTATTGAAGAGACCTACAACTTTGGTATTATACACTTTTCCAGATTCTAACTGAATCAGTGTGCAAAACATAGAAACTCTCAACTAGTCAAAATTCTCAGATTTTCACTCTTGGCCTTTGTGTATGTTTTGTGTATTTACACTCATATATTCACAAATATACATTGAATTGATCTCAAATCAATTCCTATCATACTCAAACATCAAAATATATTATTTTCACCATATAACATATTTATAATTATTTATCACACTATATTCAAATTTTCGGGGTTTTACATCAGTATAGGTGTACTTAGACTTTTACCTAATCATAGTTCTCATCGAGTTATGCATAACGGTTCTTGTTGGGTGCATCCCGAGGCATAAGTAGATATTGAGATACCAAGATGAGATTCTTCTCTCCTAGTATAAGGGGTTGATATCATAAGATTGTTTGATATAACTATAACCTGAAAATCCTTGACCGATGTAAATAAGATAAACTGAGTGTCAGTTTGATCTTATAGGTTATGAGTTTAATATCAACAAACACTAATTGAGCAATTAGGGTTTGACAGTTTTCCATACCCTAGTCTTAATAGTTTGACATGGTTTGATGAAGAGACCGGACTGTACGGTATTATCACTAAGTGGTCCTGATAAAATTGTGTAAGCATCTTGCAGACATTTATCACAACTTATACCCGAGTAGTCTTTATGTGTAGCTAGCACCTCTGTTGTACTTATGGATATCATCCACTGTCGAGTTTTTAAGTTGGGCCCTAGAGTCATACCAAGCGCGTACTTAAATCATATAAAATACTATTTATAAAGTGATGCATATGATTAATACGCATATATGATTTTACCGGATACACATAAACTGTTATGTATATAGGTAAAAATAAGAATGCTATGTGCTTAGGAAATAAATTCCAGTATTTTTTCCATAAAGTTTACTTTTAGTCAACTAGTTGACTTTTTTGTCAACAGTTGACTTTTGGTCAACTCATTGACTTTTTTGGTCATATGATGACTTATTGGTCAAGTGTCAACAGTTGACTTTTGGTCAACTCATTGACTTTTTTGGTCATATGATGACTTATTGGTCAATGATTATAAAGTTACAAAATATCGTATTTATGAAATACCGTATTGATGTGGTATTTTTATTTATGAAATACGCACTTCATTATACCTTGATTAATGAGTCATGAGATGAGTCACTAAGGTGGTATGATTTGGGAATATGGTTTTAGCACATAGTTTTGATTCTTCATGATTCATTGCATGACTCATGAGATGAGTCATTGCATGACTCATGAGAGAATCATTGTTTTGATGACTCGTGGTGTGACTCATGGAATGAGTCATTCATATCATGACATATTCTTCCTCAATGGAAAAATGAAATAAATGGTTTATTCATAGTTGCTTTCCATAAAAGAAAAGAAGAGAGATCTACCTCTTACTAAACTCTATCAATCTTTGAGTAAGAGAAAGTAGTAGGATTTTAAAGTACCCCGGGGTGGATATCTTGCCTTGTGTCTCAAGAAGACTCTAATTTTATCAAGCTCACTTGAAGACTTAGAGATCCACTACGAAGAGATTTACTACTACAAGGAGCAAGCGCTAGGGATTGTTCGATCTTCCATCGAATCACGCTTCGAAAGTATGACTTTCTAACTCTTGTATGCTCTTCGATCTTCCATCGAATCACGCTTCGAAAGTATGACTTTCTAACTCTTGTATGCTCTCTTTAATATAGGAATCATGTTAGATTTAATTAGGATGGTCCTACCTTGTTTTTCATGCTCTCTACATGCTTAGTATTATTATACATACAGTCTTCCGTTGCGTATTTTGCATGTATTTAGCATGAATTTCTAACATTATCTTTGTCTCATTGTTTATATCGCCTATTGCTTATTGTATATCCTTGCATATTTCATTGTATATCATTGTTAGGATATATTAGTTAATAAGTTTTAATTTGGCATCGTATTCGGATTAGATTAGCAATTACTCTATTCAAACCCCCCCCCCCTCCCCTCCCCTCCCCTCCCCTCCTCTAGGGTAAATCACTAGTACAAAACAGCTCTGTCCAAACGGTTATTATAACCGTTTGGACAAGTCGAAATAGCCCAAACGGGTTTAACCGTTTGGGATAATAAACCCAAATGGTTAAAACCGTTTGGGCTGTTCAAAAATCCCAAACGGCTAAACCAAATGGTTTTTACCGTTTGGGATATCTCAACCAACACGGTTAACACCGTTTGGGAGTTTTTATTACCGTTTGGGAGTTTTTATTAGTTTTTGCAAAAAACAATAAAACCCCTTATTCTCCGTTTCCCCCCAAAAAATTTCATCCACCGCTAAAAATTCATCCCCAAATATTTTGCAAGATCGCACCCTCTCGAATCCCTAACCCCATTGTCCGACCGTGTCGAAGTCCAACCACGGCCACCGACAACTCACCTCATCTTCGATCGCAGGGGGATCCCTCATCTTTGCTGCTGGCCATCGTACACCCTCCACCTCCCTCAACTTCACCGGTGCTCCTCCTCCTCCACCTCCATCGTTTCCATCGGCGCCCTCGTCCTGTTGGTCTTCGCCAACGTACCTCCTCGCCCTGTTGGTCTTCGGTGGGGCTGTCACTCCTCCGCCTCCTCCTCCTCCGCCTCCCCCTTCTCCTCAGATCACCAACGTACCCCCTTCTCCAATGTACCTCCTCGTCGTCTTCTCCGGGGGTTCAGTCCTCAGCATGGCAATCGATCACTTCGGTGAAGTTCGCAGCAGACGAGGACCTACCAGAATCTTCAAACGATTCTGATGATGATGTGACACTACAAGAAATCCGGTATTTAACGACCAAAATTAGTGAAGGGACCAGTTAACCGTCATTAATGTGCATATATTAACGACGGGTTTTAAAGCCTTCGTCAAGTGATTACAAGTCTTTTTTAACTTCATTGTTTTACTTCTATGTTTATGATGGGCGCTTGCCTATGTTAATTTATCTCGAATTGCAAGTCTTTTTTAACTGAATCGAGGGTAAAAATGGGGAATATTTATGTAAATGAGAGTACATGAAGATGAGGGCTGAGAATAAACTAGAAATTTGTATATGGTCATCTACTTTTATGAATTGGTAGCTGATCAAACCATAACTCCACAAGACGTGATGCATTCTTTATGATGTTTTCTTCAGGCTGACTCTTTGAGTTGAAAAGAAGGTCATGTTCTTTCCAAATAAGCTAGAAACTTGTTGTAGTTGCACTATTCTATCCAATTTCTATTCTTTTTGGGAGATAGATTTGTTAGAAATATAAAGTTCATTTTGAAATATTTCATGAAAGGATAACCTGTGAAGTTCTTATATTATTGATGTTATAGAATTTGTGAATAATGGTTATGATTGCAATTTGACCATTGTCTAGTAAATTACTTGTTGCTTCATAATGCAAATTTAGATTTGGAGATCTACTCAATGTCATTGTTATTTGACAGGCCCATAGGTCTCATTCTTTTGTTGTTTGTTCAATTAGATGAGGCATTACAGTTTATTGATTGCTGATTCGATCTAAGTTATTATAAGAAATGTACATTAGTTTGCTTCACAGTTCAAATGAGGTGTCTATAAATCCAGGTAGAAGTTCCTATTATTTCTCATAAAGATGTATAGACACCTGATTTTGAATGTGTTTATCACCTGTTCAGAATGACAGGGAATTTTTGATACAACACAATATTAAGAAAAGACAAAAAATTCAAGAGGATGATCAAGCGACACTACAAACTTATGAGGTGTGTTCTTCTGATACATGAAATTTTTGCTTGTTATAGTTTCATGTTTTTAGTAATGTCATGTCTTGCACTATTAGTATTTGTCTGTAGTTTCTAGTTTGTAACTGTGACTAGACAGGCCCCAACTCGTTCAATAATATGAAAACAATTTCGACATGTGAATACAAAACATGCTACCTCGATGTTATGTACTGAGAAACTGCTGATGTTAAACATTTTGTTTCTTAAATGTAGACCTTGTTTTTCTTTGGATGCCTACACGTAGTTGACAATTAATGATAAACCTCACTCTTCCAAGAATCCGAAACAATTTCGAAAATGAAAATATAAAAAGATCCTAGTTCACAGCTATGTATTGACTTACTTCTGGTATTAAACATTTTAGTTCTTGAATTTAATCAAATTCAGTTTGTTTATACTTTACGTGTATATTCAGCATATTGTGTGATATTTCGAGTGATATTTTTCTTTTGGCCAAATTAAACCGAGGGATTTGATTCCTGGCTCCCTCAAGCCAAAATATCAATTTTTTTCTTTGTGGGGTGAGTGATAAAGATGCTTGATACTTCATTGTAATGTTATCCATATAAAGTGAGAGTTGTGGCCCTGCTTTCTACACTTGAGTTACTGCTATCCCCCTTCCTATGAAAACTAAAGCAAGTGATAATCATCGATGGCTCTTCCTTCTGGAACTTTTGCTGCATTGAACAGGCCTGCAGCTTCTTCCAAAATGCTAGCAGTTGAAAATCTAAGAACATTTACAGCATCATTTAAAGGAAATGGATATGGGAGAAGGAGCCTGCTGAGCTTAGTTTTATTGTCAACAGCCTCAACAACATCTAATGCTAGTGATTCAAGAACAACACTTCTTCAAGGTACGCTAAACTTTCATCACTCTGAACACCTTTGAACTTTTGAATTATGGACATTATCTGTAAATTTCAGAGTACATAAAGAAGTCCAAAGAGAACAAAGCAAGGAATGATAAAGAGGTGAGCATTAGCTTCCTTAATCACCTCTTCATTGTCTGACTTGTTAGTTGAATTGGGTTGAAGTCCTAAAAAGAATTAGATTCCTATTGGTAGAAAATTGATGAGAATTGGGATTTGTGTTTTGCAGGGACTTATCTTAAACAAGTCCCAGTATCAGTACAAGTTTAGTTAATTTGGATCACCAAGAGTATTCTAATCCTATTCAAATTGGGCCTAGTCAATTCTATATATACGCCTTTACTACAACGCCAAAAAAATAGCCAGTGAACATCAAAGTTTCCTGAGAAGAACTTAGTTTCAGAGGAAAGGTTGTATCGGGTTTTAGGGTGTGAGAGATCTCCACGTAAGTGATATCTGCGTTTTGTTTTCTCGATATTTTCTGTGCTTTCGTCTAATTGTTATTTGTTTTTCCTGGGTATTTGTCATAACAGCAAAAGAAGCCTCTTCTTTTTCGGAATCGTTGAGCAAGACTCCTCATTCTAGGGACAATCCTCCTCATTCTAGGGACACCAACTTCAGAATAACAACAAGATAAGCATTCCATACTATCAAGGCAATTCTCCCTCAGCAAGGTCTTTTCTCCAGTCTCGAGCCTCTCATCAGAAAGGACACATTATTTACCTTCCGCGCCAATTACAAATAGCGGTGCAGACTCAGCAAACTCAGCACATTTTGGATGGATCAGGCCACTCCTATCTTATTTTGGAAGTTTGGGGCATTTTGGATCTTAGAGATTAATATATAATATTGGATGCTTTTTATTGTGAGATATTGAGTAATTATTGTGTATGTATATGTTTTGTCTCTAATATTATATATTGAGTAATCATTGTGTATGTATATATAATATTAGATATTCATCACCGTTTGAGACATGTTTGTGCATGTATATGTTTTTTATTTCATTGTGAGATATTGAATAATCATTGTGTGAGATGTGTATATTAAACATAAATAGGTAGATAAATAAAATAGCCAAAATTTAAAAACTATTAAAATACACAGTCCAAACGGTTACAACCGTTTGGACGCAAATTAGCCCAAAGTGTTGTAACCGTTTGGGCTAATTTTTACCCAAACGGTTGTAACCGTTTGGACGGAAATTAGCCCAAACGGTTGTAATCGTTTGGGCTAATTTCTGTCCAAACGGTTGTAACCATTTGGACAATATTATTCTGTCCAAACGGTTATAACCGTTTGGGATTTTGCCCAAACAGTTGTAACCGTTTGGGCGACCGTTGGGCAAACGGTTCTTTTTTTTTGCCCAAACGGTTGTAACCGTTTGGGAGGGTGTTTTCCCAAACGGTTCCAACCATTTGGACTGTCCTGTTTTGTACTAGTGAATCTGCGTCAATGCGGGGAATTTGTCAGCAATGCCTCTTATTAATACAGTTCAATATGCAGGTTTTGTCTACCAAAGATATGAGATGAGATCAGAAAAAAGAATACCCCTCTTTAATAGTAGTTACTAATTTATCTCGACATCGTATCAGCAGCTACAGTTCCCATCTATTATTTCCTTTTGGCCTTTTTGTTACTACTAAGCATGTTTATGAGAACTGCACCAACTAAAGAAAATAATTCGTCTACTCAGCTCCAGATATGGCTGCAAATTCTTAATGACACTATCATACAACAGACACCTTGGAGATCCAGATGACCGCTATAATATCCTTAGCCCTGATAAAGACATTAAGCTAAAACAAGACCAAGAAACATTTTACATTGATAAGTACGAAGTTTCCCAGCTAATTGTGCACAACTATGCTGAGCTTACCCTGGAAATATCCAAATGCAGATAAAAGTTTTACAATGCAAAGTTCTTATAAATAGCACAAATCCATGCATGCTAAACACAGTCATCTAGAGTTGAATTCATCCATGGCTTCTTTTGTTTATACATTGCTCTTTTGCGCACTGGTTCTGACCTGCTACTGTCATGAAGCGGATAGAGAGGTCTTTATTTCTCTTTCTAATAATTTTCTTTTATGACCATTAATTTGAAAACCGTCAAGAGTTTTTTAGTTTTAAACGGCGGAGACATGTTACAGGTTCATGTTGTGTACATGGGGGAGATGCCGAAGGATGGAGACTCTGTTGCCTCCTCAATGCACCATTCTCTGCTAAATGATGTCCTCGGAAGGTCTTTACTATTATGATTTTTCTTTTCGTTTCACCATGTTTGTCATTAAAATTTCTACATTTTGGTGTTTTTTGAGTGAATTTCACATAACCGCAAAAGTTTGGCTCATTTTGAGATAGCATATATACTTTTTTAAAGGTCACATAACATCAACATGTTTTGTCAGACAACCCCCGAGTCTGACATAATATTTTTGGTGCTATGTGACGTTTTCAAAGGTTTTGGTGTTATAGCAAAACGGGCCAATTAAACTTTTGGAGATGTTATCACAAAACGGGCCAAACTTTTGGGGGGGTATTATGTAAAATTCTTTTGATGGCTTTGAGTTCTGTTCTAATGCAGTAAATTCAGTGCAAAAGAGTCTCTGGTATATAGCTATGGGAGAAGCTTCAACGGCTTTGCAGCAAAACTAACCAAAGAAGAAGCCACAAGGATAAAAGGCAAGAATTAATCAACACTTTTATTCCTTCCAAGCTTGAATTTGATTTCTCTGCTACTAAAAATTATTTTATGCATTTCATTTCAGAGACGAAAGGAGTCGTCTCAGTTTTTCCAAACACATTATACGATCTGCACACAACAAGATCCTGGGATTTCATGGGCATGACGAGCGATAAAACTTTTCACTACCCCATGGAAAGAGAGGTCATTGTCGGAGTAATAGATTCAGGTGTCCATCAGTTGCTTAAATACAATAGAATTCGAACGTTTTCGGCACAAATTTTAAAGTGGTTGGTAAAATTCACAGGAATATGGCCTGAATCCCCAAGCTTTGATGACAATGGCATTCCTCCACCCCCTTTCAGATGGAAGGGAACCTGTCAAACAGCAAACAACAACTTCACTTGCAACAAGTGATCTCTCAATCCCTCTCTAATCCTAGTTTTCTTTTTTCCTAGGGCTGCTCCGTGCGCTTCAATTTTAAACGTAACAGATGCTGAATGCAGAAAATGTTGCATGCAGTATTTATTGCATTAAAGTAGTCTCAAATTTGGTGTTTAGATATTGGGATTTTAGAGGAAACGTACTTTCAAACCAAACTCCAGTGTGATCAGTTAGTTGCAAACCAAATCAAGCGTTTGCTTATCTGAAATTTTCAAATGATCTCAACATTTTTACTAGCTTAATTGGTAACATGACATTGATTATCCAATTTTGTCATCAATGCATGACTACAAATTTTATCCATAACATGAAAATTGAGCTATTTTCCTTTACTAAATTGTTGTTAACCAAACACTGTAAGTAGAAATATGATCGATGGCCACATTTGCTGCTACTATGCTATTTCCTGACATCAAAACAACCCTTTTACCCTCTACTATCAATCATACACTAATTAACATAACCCCCAACATTTATGTGACCGTTCAGCAAAGTCATCGGAGCCCGATTCTACAACACTCAAAATCGAACCCTACCCCCCACCAACATCAACTCCCCAAGAGACACCGTCGGCCACGGGTCCCACACTGCCTCACCGCCGGCTGCGCGCTCCAAGTCCCAAACACAAGCTTCTTCAACCTCGCCAATGGCACAGCACGAGGCGGTGCTCCCAGCGCAAGGATCGCAGTATACAAAGCCTGCTGGTCGTTTGGATGTTCATCTGCCGATATACTGGCTGCATTTGATGATGCAATTGCTGACGGCGTGGATATCTTGTCTGTGTCTCTCGGTGGGCCTCCGCGTGAGTATTTTGAGGATCCCATTGCGATCGGATCGTTCCACGCGATGAGAAATGGGATTTTGACTGTGAATTCGGCGGGAAATGGAGGTCCTGATCCGAGAAGTGTTACCAATGTTGCACCGTGGACGGTTACCGTCGCTGCTAGTACTATTGACAGGAAGTTCGTCGCTAGAGTAGTGCTCGGAAATGGACAGACTTTAATAGTGAGTATCTTTTTGTCTGTTGTTACGAACTACCGTGGAATTTGCAGAAAAATATTCAACATTGTTTTTATAGAAAACAAACTACATATCACAACCATTTTTTACTAAAAGGTTAATTGCGCGTATACCCCCCTCATTACTAATGTAGTTTCACTTTGGCAGATGGAACCCTGGGTTAACTTTTCTTTCTTTCTTTTTTTTAACTCTTTTACTCCCGTGAAATTTTGACGGATATCGCCCCTGGATAAAACTTGTGCGTCTATCAGTGAGTAAAAGAGTCAAAAAAAAAAAAATGGTAGATCTGAGTCCGGTGAAATCCTGACAGTTTATGGTCTGAAACTTATTTCTCAGATATACACTCCTAAATTTAATCGTGGTCGTTTTTTTTTCTTCCAATGTTGCAGGGAACCTCCATAAACCGATTCGGGTTTCTTGGTTCAGCCATCCCATTAGTTTATGGAGGATATGCTGCTAATGTCTCAGCAGGCTCATACTTTGAAGCCTCCAGATACTGCTCAACTGGTTCGCTCGACTCGAACAAAGTTAAGAACGCCATTGTTCTCTGTGATGAAGTTAATGGCGGTGATGGAGTTCTGATGGCAAATGGGGTTGGAGTCATAATGAGCGATAGTATTGACACGGATGTAGCCTTTTCTTTCCAACTTCCTGCAACTGCGTTGAGGGCAGAGGAAGGTGCACGCGTACTAGACTACATCAAATCTACCAGGTAAATTACTAAGAACTCCTCCATGGTCTTCCATCCCTTTGTTTTCATTGTGCAGTCAAAATAATCGTCAAGATTTCTGATGTGATCATTTATAGTATAAGGATCACAATGTGATTATGACTGTTATATTCCATTCTTTCAGTTTTCACATCGCAAACGTATGTTGCGAAACTTGGAAGACTTGATTTATCCTATATTTTAGAAGCTAGCTCTAAAAAAAATTTGCCACATAATCGGCAAGATCGATAAATATTGCGCTATAAATTGTAGGGTTTATTGTGGATGGACCCCGTAATATAGCCCAATTGCATATGGACCCTTGAGTGATTTTTTCCTGACTGTTTTACAATCAGGAGGTCCATTTATCAAAAGAATTCTCTTTCTCTGAGAGTAAAAGAGTCAACAAAATTCACTCTAGGGCAACAATACAATTATAGGGGGTCTATCAATGGTTGGGTTGGGCGACAGTAAGAGGGTCTATCCGCAACTAACCCTAAATTTAGCATAAATTATGGAAAATTCTCTGTAAGTTTTAGAAATGACACTATACCTCTCATTTTCAATTTTAGCCAAATAATCGTCAATTTTTTCATTGATAAATTGTTACCAGTAATCCAATCGCAACTATATTTCCTGGTGAGACAATGTACAACGTATTGGCACCCCGAGTGGCTGATTTCTCGTCGAGAGGACCAAATGTATTGGACCTCGACATTCTAAAGCCAGACCTGACTGCACCTGGCGTCGACATCCTTGCAGCCTGGTCACCGTTGTCTGGTCACACAAAAACCAACTACAATGTGATTTCAGGCACATCCATGTCTTGCCCTCATGTCACTGGAGCTGCAGCTTATGTTAAATCTGCTCATCTTACTTGGTCTCCTGCTGCTATCAAATCTGCACTCATGACTACAGGTAAGAGCTGGAATCGAATCGAATGTTGAAGTTTTCATATTTGAATCTGAATTTAACTTTTTTAAATATGATTTTAACACGAATATATATTGTTTGAGTATTTATTAAATACAAAACCATAACTGAAGGCCCTTTTTAATAGTATTTAGATTCATATTTGAAAAGTTATTTCCTTATCATGATAAATCAATAAATCCATCCGAATGTTTGATTTTAAAAAATTAACTTTGAACCAATGTCTCTAAAAATAAATACAACT